TGGCATTATTTTGGATTATAGGATGACGGATGTTAGAATTCACACAATTTAGCACAATTGTAAGAATTGTAGAAAGATCAGTTGTTTTATATTTCAGATAATTCCTCTATCAAAATAATATCTATAAAAAAGATTTATCTCTAGTATTTAATATATTAATATAAATTTATTTTTTCTTACAAAACAATTAATAAGTAATCCACACGCTCAAAAAAACTGTGAATAAATAACACATTACTATTAAATAAATAATATATTACTATTAAATAAATAATATATAAGCAATTTAAAAAATATATATTGGAACGTAAGGGATACGATAATTTTTAAAAAGCAATTTATAAATATATATTCGGAAACGTAAGGGATACGATAAGATTTTTAAAAAAGTAGATATCATGCCATCAACGCTCAGTGACACACTTTCTATTCTAATTAAGTAATACATTAATATTTCAAATAAAAAACAGCAAATTTAATATATTTATAAACATAAAATATAAAATATACTTAATTTCTTATTTCAAAGTGACACAAAAAAATATTTAAAAAACGGACTTATTTTTATTGGTAGTAAATAAAAAACCTTGGGCTGATTAGCTTGGTTGTATGGAGTAGTCTCCAATTATACTAGAAGCTGAGTTGAAACGAAAGCGTGGAATTTCATATGAGATACGAAATGTCACGGGATATTAATATTTTGAAAGATGGACTAATTCACTTCGCTTAAAACACACTCGCTTAAAACACACTATACTAAATAAATAATACATTAATATTTTAAATAAATAAACAATCATTTATAATAAACATAAAATAAAATAAAATTTCTTATTTTAATGACATAAAAGCAAATTAAAAAAAAAAACACTTCATTTTTATTGGTAATAAAAAAATCTTAGTTGATTAGCTTTGTGTATGGAGTAATCTCATATACCAGGAACTGGGTTGCACAAACACAGGACATAAGATACAAGAACGTACGAGATAAGATAATTTTTAAAAAAAGGTAGAACATCCGCACGCTTAGAATACAGTATACTAAATAAGTAATACATTAATATTTCAAATAAATATACAATCATGTATAATAAATTATAAACACAAAATAAAAAAAAATTTTCATTTCTTATTTCAGCTATAAAAAATAAATTAAAAAAACACTTCATTTTTTATAATTGGTAATAAAAAAATCTTAGTTAATTAGCTTGGTGTATAGAGTAGTCTCATATACCAGAAGCTATATTGCATATATAGAAACGAGATACGACAATTTTTAAAAAAGGTAGGACATCCACACGCTGTACAGATTTTTAAAAAAGGTAGACATCCACACGCTTTAGGACATAGTACAACTAAATATAGTAATATATTAATATTTTAAATAAATAAACATTCACTTATGAATAATATAAACATAAACTTAAAAAAATACTTAGATTTTCTTATTTCAATGACAACATTTTAAAACAAATTGTTTAAATAAAAAAAACCCTTTATTTTTTATTGGTAATCAAAATAAAAATCTTTTGGTTGAAAATTTAGTTATTATTATGTTAAGGATGTAGATCTTCATTAATATCAGTAGGTTTGGTTAACACGGACACGGCTGAGACATAATGAAATATGGGGAACGTATACGATATATATAATTTTATAAAGTATGGTAACGTAGCATTTGCTTAATGACACACTACACAAATATTAAGTAATATATTTAATATTTCGTAAATAAATAGAATAATCTATTTATTAAATAAATCATAAGCATATAAATTTAAATCATAAGCATAAAATAAAAAAATACTTAATTTATTATTTCAATATAATTAGTTAAATTCTCAAAATTATTATCATTATTGCAAAATATATTAATAGGGTGTATGATATTTTTATATAACTCATACCATATATGACTTTTGCTATTGCATACCTTATGAAAAGTTTCGCACGATACTTAAAAAAACGTATCTTAGCATAACAACTTTTCAGTATATCTCAATAAGATACAATTTATCATGTTATTGTATAATCTTACTATTTTTTAATAATGTTATAAAATACTATTTCATATTTGAATATTATCATGCACGTCGTGCGGATTATAAGGGAAAAAAGTAATTATATTTTCAGATAATATCATATAGGAGGGAAAAAACTAAATTAATATTAATAAGAAAAAACTATTTTTTTGGTGAAAATATAGGAAGGAATAAAGGGGGAAACGAATTCCGGATAATTTTTCTCTTCAATGACTAAAATAAAAAAAATATATAAATAATTGTAGAGAAAAATTAATTTATTTTCTTTTATATCAAAAAAAAAATAAGTAAAGATTTTTCAAAAAAAAAAATTTAGGTCGCATCTATTTTTTTTTTCTGGGATTACATTAATAAAAAAAATATACAAATAAATTAAAAAAATACTTTATCAGCGCGGTAAGGAAGTACGGAGTTCAAATTTTTAAAAGTCAGGAGATCCACACGCCTTAGGACACACACACTAAATCATAAACATAAAATAAAAAATATTTAATTTCTTATCTCAATATAATTAGTTAAACTCTCAAAATTATTATCACTATTGAAAAATACATTAATCGTGTGCGTGTATTTTTTTATGCAAGTCATACTAGGGTTGTCAAAATGGGTCACGACACGAGAACACGATTCGCCTAACACGCCCAATAAAATGGATTATGGTTGAAGTTAAACGAGTTTGTTTCATAAACGAGTCATCCATTTATGACACGAATATAAATGCGCTGTGTCGCAGGTTGACACACGGGTTAGGCAAGTAACCCGTTTATTTAAGAGTAAAAAGATAATTTTAGTGTTAGATATAAATACTCCAACTAAAAACTATTCAAATTTTATTGTTGTATTACTTTTTTATTTTAATTATGAGTCTTGAAGAATTTATGCATTTTACGTGTGAAAATTTATTTTTAAATATGACTGGAGTTAAATAGGTTAAAAGTTAAAAAATACAATAAGCAGGTTAAGTGAATTATATATAGGTCAACATATCCACTTAACCTATTTATGATATTAAGCAGGTTACACGAGTTATATATGGATCAACACGACCCACTTAGCCTGTTTATGATATTAAGAGGGTTAAACGTGTCGTGTTCATGTTAACCGTTTAATTTTTTTGTATTGTGTTTGTGTTGAAGTTATAAAAATTATTTCATCCTTTCATTCTAACACTAGTAATATATAAAAACACAATTAATAAATTTGTTTAAAGTAATCTTTCAATTAATTTGTTAATTTTTAAAATCTTACAAACTTACTTTTTCAAATATAAATGAAGGATAATTTGAGAAATGTTTATAAATATAATAGTAAACTAATTTGTGAAATATTAATAAAAAAAATAATTTTATTATATGTATATAAATTTTGTTTTTTTTTAGAATGAAACTACTAATTTTATAAAGCAAGGCCAACTTATCAGACACAGCAATAGATGAAGGACATTCTTCCACCCATACTTTCTAGCCCGTATCATCTCTCAAAGCAAGATAAGCTAAATGATGAGCTGGTTTATTATACACTGTATTAACATAAGAAAATGAAAATAAACTGATTAAGAAGCTAACCTTTCAGATTACAGTATCTTGTTCCCATTGCATTGAGAAGCTCAAAAAGGATAAATATATATATATATATATATCAAATTTAATTGATCACAATTTACCATAATTATAAAATTATATTTTTATGAAACAACAATAAAAACAATTTAATCCTCAAAAAAAAAAAAAAAAAAAAAAAAAAAAAAAAAAAAAAACGAAAGCTTGTATCCAGATTCAGTAAATTTTTGTCGTCTTGCTTGCAACTTAAAGAAACAATTATAAATGATTATTAAATATATATAATTAATTATTATTCGAAAACATTTAGAAGGATTATTCATTTATCCAATGAAAATAAAATGCTGGAAAAAGGGAAAAATATTTACAAAAATTAGAAAATTTATAAAAAAGAAAAGGTAAAGCTCAAAAACAAAGTGCATAACCTTTTAAAAATCATTTTTATACCTTAACCACTACACCAAATCCAATCTGGCTACACCAGTTGGCCTTGTTTCAAAACAGTTTTTGGTATTCAGTCTTCTCTTTTCGCCACTTGAGTCGCATACTGCCCAGTCTTTGCTTAGGGTAAGTCAAAGTTCTTTCTTTGATCTTATTTTCTGATAGATTCTTTTTCTTGTCCGTATAACAGTTATCTTTTCTCTCAAAATATCCAAGCAGTTCATCTGGTTCAATTTCATGTTATGATCAGTAAGTTATTTCCTCTTTTTTTTCTTCTTTTCTTTTCTATGTAATGGTATTCTTGGAAGGGAAAGTTTTTTTTTTTTTTTTTTTAAAAAAAAAAAAGATATGAATCAGAAACAAAATGAGTACAAAATGGGTTTCTGAGGTAATGATTAAAACATTTTTAAATTGATTTTTTATTTTATGTATGAAGAATTCTTTCCTTTTTAGTTTCCACTATCCTTTATCATCTCAAATTCTTGAAATCCAGCAACTGTAGACTGGGAGAGGGTTTCCTCAACTTTACCAAAACTGGTGTAAATTCTTGTAAATTTCTCAATCAATAACTAATAAATATATGCAGCTCAAGAGAATTTGCAAAATCCTATTTAATCATCAAACTTTTATTTGTAATCTCAGGTGCCAGTTTTTTGGTTCAGTACTCAACATGAAGCAAATAATCCTTGATTTTAACATGATAGATTGAGTTTTTGAGCTAAGCTTCTTTTGATTGCCTCTCCATGCTTGATAATCTACTCATTAGAAATAACATATATTGGTTTATTATTGAATATAATCTACTCATTAGAAATAACATATATTGGTTTATTATTGAATTATTTGGCTTTGTGGAGTTAAGATTTTCAAATCTATGAAAAAAATGGTCAAATTAATTACTTCTCAGGAACTGAAAGAGGTTTTTAAGTACCTGTGCATATTTTGGTTGCAGGATAACATGTCTGTGTTTCTTGAAATCTTGAGGTGTATTCTTTGTTGTGTTGAGGATCGTGGAGATGAATATGAATATGAAACATTATATGGAAATAATTCAGGTGAAACAATTACTCCTAATATATATAGGGTAGGATTCGGTTCAAGGTCAAGTAATCCGACAAACTTTGAACCAACATATGTTGAGACAGTAAAAAGAATTGATGATGTGCATAGTGCTTCAAGTATTTATGCAAAATATGAACCTATATCTTCATATAGTCCACACACATCTTCCTCTATGCTACAACAACCTTCATCTACTAAACTCACATATTCTTCAAGTCCAACTCTGTCGAGATCTGAACCGCCAAAATCTTCTTCTAACCAAAATCAATCACTAACATCACACTTATCTTCTTCTAAAACATTATCTTTTGCACCATCAACTTCATCAAAACCTTGCACTAAAGAAGCTAAAGTATCACCATCTTCTAAACCTATTCCTAAAGCATCACTATCTTCCTCGGAGTCTTCTCCATCATCCTTTAAGCACCCACCATCTTTTAAACTAACTTTGACTCCGGCTTTCTCAAATGTGACCAATCAACAGACAAAAGCCGCCAACAAACAGGTTGAAAAGAATACATCACCTATCCTAAAATTTCAAACATCACACTCTGAGCCATCTCCACTGTCTTCTAAACCTTTTACATTCTCAAGTAAAGTACCTCTTTCGTCCTCAAAGCAATCTACATCATCCTCTGTAACCCCTGCATCTTTTAAGTCAACTCTGGCTGGCTCCAACTTCCCCAAATGGCACAAATGAGCATTCAAAAGCAAACTACATATGGGTTCAAAAGGATGCATTACCTATTTATGCGATTCCTAAGGATATACAAGACTTGATCAAGAAAGACAAAGTACCTGGAGTTTTGAAAAGGCCATTGTGTGTCTCAACATACAAGGACTATTTTGCTGCTCTTCTATATGCAGAGGACTTTTATATTGAGGTAATAATTACTTGGATAACGTCTTGGGTGCCTTCATTAATAATCTAGTTAATAAGAAAAGTATCTATGTGTATTCAAAGACATGCTATGAAATTGCTTTAAATTGAGCCTTCAAAAGAATTTGAGGATCACTTCCAGAAGGGCTACTCAAATGGAGATATGGACAGATATCATCCAAATTGAAGTAAGAGTTGTATTGACTTTGTCGTATTATTGTTAGGCCCTTTGGGGCCTAGAAACATAAGATCTTTTTTTGGTTTGTAGTAGCAATGCCACGATTTAAATGGAGTTTGCTGATTCTTAATCCAACAGGTGTGAGAGTAGAGTTTTTGGTCAATGGAGTCATCTCAGACTCAAATTCTATAAATCATAAAACATTATGCAACTGCAGGCTCTTCATTTGCAGAATTTATTGAACTGATTAAATTCTCTATATTTAATACCAAATTATATCAAACATGGTATCTTTTTTTAATACCAAATTATATGTAACATGGTTCGTTTTTTTTTTTTTTTTTTTTTTTTTTTTTTTTTTTTTTTTTTTTTTTTTTTTTTTTTTTTTTTTTTTTTTTTTTTTTTTTTTTTTCGATTTCATTGATTTGAATGGTCTAGAAGTCAAATAACATCAAATGGATATCATCTGATACAGTCATAAATTTTGTTAAGTGTAATAATGTCTGAATTGTCATATAAACATATAGGTAGGAAATTTACAACATATTCTTAAGTCATCTAGAAAAAATATATGCTTGAAAATATTGTTGAACTTTTGTGTATTTTGTTCACAATGATTGCTCATTACATGCAAGCATATGGTAAACTTCAAGGATTTCATGATATGACAGACAAGCTGCCATTATACTTAATTGTGCACTGCTTTCATTTTAGATGATAAATATTTATTGGTTGACTGTCATAAGACAACCGGTGCTGTCTAAATACAATATATATTCTAATTCCACAACTTGCAGAAAAAGGATGAAGTCCTGAGGGCATGATAATAGCATCACCACATTAAGGGAAGACTAGTGATAATGATAGATTCTAGATTTCTTGTCAATAGAATGACATAAGACTTGTTGAAACTTTGGTCGATGATTGATCATTTGCAATGCTTTTTTTTAATAAGTAGCTTTTTGTTTTTTCTCTTCAAATGCTGGTGAAGTGTTTGGCAAATGGTGTGATAACTTTCCTTTGTCATGTTTAGACGTATTATTAAATGCAATAGCTGTATTGTACTTTTATGATATGGTTGGAAACAATTCAAGTCAATTGGTTCCATATGTACAAGGCCTTTCTTTCTTTTTTTTTTTTTTTTTTTTTTTTTTTTTTTTTTAAAAAAAAGAAGAGCAAAATTTTTTTTTTTTTAAAAAAAAAAAAAAAAAAAAAAGAAGAGCAAAACACATGCACAAAAGAGAAAATGTAATCACATTTTTGGTAGATAGAATTGTGTATAAATAATTCGTTTTTGGAACCAGTCTGTGCTGCATGTGATCTGCAAGTTCTCTGAATTTTACAGTATTATATTTTTTCTATTTGATGTATGAAAACTACTTTCTGGTTTCAATGTGCTTATGGTTCAGTAATTTGATATTGTAAATTTAATTACTCCTTTGTATTGGAGTTGAAATTAGTGTGTCTCTTGTTGGAATCAGCAATGGAGTAAGTTCAAATTGTTGGGCATCACTTTAAAGTTGCAAGAAGCTACAATTAAATGGTCATACTTCACAGACAGTGATGATAAGGATGATAGAATATTTGTGGAATTTAAGATTGATGCGGCACGTGAGAAACGGCCATTTCTTTTATCAAGGGACTTTGTCTTTGCAAAACCTTCAGGAAGTAATATTGAGCCATTTCAGGTCAGTGTCATGAACTTCCATCGGGTTATGTTATGAAAAAGTATTTCAATCTCATAAATTGATTTTATCCACAATCATAATTATTTTTCAAATGCAAATCAGGGTATAATCTATCGAGTGGTGAAAAGCACTACTGTATTAGTTGAATTTGGTAAAGGTTTTCATTCTCAACATTATTCGTCTCGCAAATATGATGTTAGCTTCTCATTTAACAGAGTTTGTTTAAAAAGGGGACATCAAGCAATTGAAGCTGCTTCGCATCCTACATTTGAAAGTTTCACTTTCCCTAGTTTTCGCTCCAGAAGGCTCATTTCTGCCTCATCTCCTTCCTATTTTAATTATAAACTTGATACAGATCAAATGTCAGCAGTTCAACAGATCATAAAATTCCATGGTTCGCCACCTTATCTTATTGAAGGTCCACTTTGTGTAACTAAAGAAAAACGGAATGAGCCTAAAGCATTATCAAGAACCGGATTGGTTATCCAAGAAGCAATGCTTCAAATTTATAAAAAGTCTCGAGATCATCGGATTCTTGTATGTGCACCTATCAACAGCACATGTGATTTGCTAACAAGAAGCTTGAAGAAGTACATTCCTGAATCGGATATATTTCGAGGAAATGCTGCTTTTCGGGAGATAGATGGCGTACCTCTTGACATTCTCCCTTCATGTGTTTTAAAAGGTGAATGCTTTGCTTGTCCTCCACTTCAAGAACTCCAAAAATTCAGAGTAATAGTGTCTACTTATGTAAGTAGCTTTCGGCTGCACAATAAAGGCATCATGGCTGGTCATTTTAGTCACATTTTTGTGGTGGATGCCTCATCAGCTACTGAGCCGGAAGCAATGATTGCTTTAGCTAATTTTGCTACTGATGACACTACTGTAATAGTCACTGGTGCACAAGGAAACCGTTCCGGTTGGGTACGTTCTGATATTGCTAGGGAGAATGGACTGAGGGAATCATACTTTGAAAGACTTCATGAAAAAATTGCAAGCAATAGTGTTAATAAATCGTTGTTCCTTGCACAGATTGACAATCCGAAATCAAATTGCAAATCGGATAATGATGCCTACAGCTTAGTTTCATACTCCATTCTGTAAGTTACTCTTTCCATAAATGGAACTTTATCACTACTGTAATTTTGTGCTTTTTGAATTTTCCTGCTTTTGTCTATGTACATATGTGATTGAAGTTTATGAGTCTACAGTCAGATGATTTTCAATGCCGGGTTAGACTAAATCTCTCAAGAGAGGCCTTCTAAGGGTAAAGTGCTTTCAATAAATATTTATTTCATTCAAGGGGATGGAATCCTCAATCTCACTCAAGGGAGAAGAGTGCCTAATTACTATTGCCAACACCCATTGATTCATGGAGCACATTTAATTTTACCAAATGCTATTATATTTATTATTATTTTTATTAATCAATGAATTAAATTTCACACAAAGTATCAGGTCTATGCAGTCAAATTGGAGGTAGACCATTAATGTTAGGGTTATAGAGCAAGATAATACATCTCTCATAGAGCAACATCAAGATTCAATATCTTTTTGGCAATGGAGTTAAATTGATTTAGTTCAAAAATTTTTAGTAATCCAGTGCATGAAAATTTTAGATGTAATTGAAATATAATTTAATTATGTTTAGTCTAATATAAATCCCTAATTTATAGCGTGTGATTGAACATAATTTAATTAAATATATATTAAATATTATATAAAATAATTTAAAATTAATTTTAGTCTAATATAACAAATCACCTAATTGTATCAGCGTGTGAGTTAGAACCTATAATTTTTAATTAAATATAATTTAAATATTAGTATAAAATTATATAAAATAATTTAAAATTAATAATTTAAATTAAAAATCATATTCTGTGAATTAAAATAAATGAACTTAGTAAAATTTATTAAAATATTAGAAGAATTAAATTTCAGTATAATAATAGTTTTAGCAAACAATCGCAAATTTAAAATAAAATAAATAACTTTAAGACAACAATTATTATTTCTATGTTCATAATGTTAGAGTGATTACAATGAGAAAATAATAATACTCGAGTGATTTTCAATATTATTTCATTAGTACTAAATTTAATAAAAATATATTAAATATTATAAAAAAAGGTGAGAGTGTTGAATAAAATTATTTTTATAAATAAGATAATATTTAATTTGAGAAAAATAAAATTCTACAAGAAAAAAAAGAAACTTATTGCATTAATTATAATTATAGCGATGTAAATGTTGAATAAGAAGTAATACAATTGTTGAGAGAAAATGTAGCTATTATAAAATATTTAAACAAATAATTTATTTAATTAATTTAATACAACAAATAAAATATTTAAACAAATAATTTATTTAATTAATTTAATACAACAATGTTTCTTAAAAAAAAAAAAAAAAATACAACAGTGTACATGCATTAGTAGGTAATACCTTAGCAGTGCATTTTTAGGTCGTAGGTTCAATATGCACAAAAAGCATTTGGAAAATTTTTCTTTACCAATTGAAAACTAAGTTCAAACCCATTCAAACTAATTAACCCGTTCATAGGTTATTGATTTGGTTGAATCATTTTAATGGTTCTCAGTGAAAAGAGTTCCAAAAGTGAACTGACTTGGTCTGGCTTCTGATTTTCGATTTTATAGGTTGAACCGGTGGGGATGGTCCAAGTCTTAAAAGCCATTACTAACTATGATAATATATTTTCAATGAGCTTTGGCAATACTATTGACTTATTAATATTGGAGTTTATTTTTCAAGTTGTGAGTGTGAAACATCAACGTTTTAAATCAAATTGACAGACTTTATCATATTGTTAGGATGTTATTATCTTGTAAATTAGCTGTGCAACACTTATCTTTGACTTGTGCTAATGTATATCATGTAAGAGACTCATGTATATATATATATATATCTATATATATATATACTATATATATATATACTATAAGATGTGCTTGTGGTATACATTCATGAGTTTCTTTATGGTGTCAGAGCCATTTGGCCTCACAAACCTTCTTAAAAAATATGGAAATCGCAAGCCTTGGTAAAACCTCTTCTTCTCCTAACTCTTTAACCTTTTCCAAAGTCAATCAATTTCTTCCATATATATAAGATGTGCTTGTGGTATAATTCATTGAGTTTCTTTATGGTGTCAGAGCCATTTGGCCTCACAACCTTCTCTAAAAATATGGACATCGCAAGCCTTGGTAACAACCTCTTCTTCCTCCTTAACCTCTTTAACTTTTCCAAATGTCAATCAATTTCTTCCTATAAAACTCACATGTGGAAATTATCACATACGGACCTTGATTCCTCATATCGTCCTTTATAAGAGCTAATGAAGGTCGAAATGCACTGATATCTTATGATGATCTGTATGCTATGTTACTTAGTGAAGAAGCATTATTAAAAACTGAAAATTTAACTGTTGCCTCATGTATTAATCCAACTACCCATTTTGTTAACAAATCAATGTCCCAGCGAGGAGACAGATCTGGAAGAGGTTGTAGTTGCTAATCTTTTCAATACTCTTCTCAAACTCGGCAATCCACTTCTTGTTTGTCATAACTGCAATGGTAAAGACATATTCTTATATAATGTCTATCCCCTTGTACCACCTCCAATCCTCATCCCACCTCCAATTATACTATTACTGCAAATTCTTTTGCCCAACAATGAACCACAGATTCTGATGCTAATTATCATCTCACTGTGGATGTTGAAAATCTTGTGACTAAAATGTCGTATCCAGGAACTGATGAAATAGTCGTCAGAAATGGTAACACTATTCCTATCTCTAATGTTGGTTATTCTTCAGTTTGTGTTCATAATCACTCTTTCTCTCTCCACAATGTATTACTTTCTCTTGACATACATCGTAATCTTATTTCTGTTAATGCTTTTACTAAATAAAATAATGGTTCTGTGGAGTTTTTTCCTGACTATTGATGTGAAGGATATCCCCACAAGACTAGTTTTGTTCCAAGGCCAGAGTAGCGATGGACTCTACAATATTCCTTTGCAAGTCATTTGTATGGTTCCTCCAGAAGCCAATCTTGTCACATTCCAAACATAGCATCAAAGGCTCGGTCATGCAAATTCTAGGACTGTTAGCAAAGTTCTCCATCTTAATAAAATTTGTTGTTCTTCTTTTACTAAATATTCATGCCATACTTGTCGCTTAGGAAAGATGCATAAGTTAAGTTACCTTTTTCAGAGTCATTTTCAAGTGTTGATCAACCATAAGAACTCATTTATTTAGATGTTTGGGGGCTATCACTTGTACCCTCTATTGATGGTTATCGTTTATTTATGTTTTCGTTTTTGATCATTTTAGCAAATTTTCGTAGATTTACCTTATTAAGAATAAGTCTGATGTGTTGAATGTTTCTATTAAGTTTCGTGCAATCGTTGAAAAATTCTTCAACTTACCAATAAAAAGTTTCCAAGCAGATAGGGGAGGAGAGTTTCAAGCTTTAGCACCTTATTTACTTGAAAATGGTACATTGCCCAGCAAGTATCTTGTCTGCATACCGGAACAAAATGGTTGTGCTAAAAGAAAGCACCGCCACATTATAGAGACAAATCCAGCATTACTACATCATGTTGTAATACCACCAATATACTGGACCTATGCTTTTGTAACAAGTGTTTATACAATTAATAGAGTTCCCTCCAAACATAATGTGACAAAAATTCCATATGAAATTTTATTTGGCCATAAACCAAATTATCAGGAATTACATGTTTTTGGTGTCTTTGTTACCCGTGGCTTAAGCCATATGCCAAAAGAAAATTGTCTCCAAGGTCAAATGTATTTTTCTTGGTTATAGCAAGCTTCATAAAGGTTTTCACTGCTTGGAACTTTCTACTGGTAAGATTTTTATCTCACAACATGTTTTGTTTTATGAGTAGGATTTTCCATTTGTCTGTAGTGATGACCATTTGGCAACTAAAGATCTAGGTTCCATGATCACAACCCCTCAATCCCAAGTACCTATTGCCCCCCCTATCCTTATCCCACCACAATCACTAGAAGCCAACATTCTTGGACCTTGCACACAACCAATCGATATACCAAGCCCTTCTCTTCCTTCTCCCATCTCACCCAACAAATGCTTAAGTTCATCTCCTATTTCAAATACCGTCACTCGTCCACCATTACTATCTCGATAATCAATTCCTACACCACAACCAACAAAAACTCATCAATGAAAGGTGTGCTTCTGGTACAATTCATTGAGCTTCTTTACTAATATCTACTCTCTATTTTGTTTACTCGTCATGTTAACATAGTGAATAGAAGTTGATCTATATAAGAATAAATTTAGTTTCAGTATATTTTTTAAGGGCTAGTAGTTTTATAGACCTTATAAGAAACCATCTTGCCTCCATGGATAGGATTGAATTACGTCCTTGTAAAAAATGTAATAGTTGTTACAAAGTGTTTATAGAACCTTTATAAGAACATTCTGCCTCAATGGATAGGATTGAATATAGAATAGCGTAGAAAAATAGTAATAGTTGTTCACAAAAAAAAAAAAAAGCAGTAGAGATTAAACAAGACTTGTTTTTGATAGAGAAATACTATTAACCATGCAAATGTTAATAGTATGTTTTTAGTGTTATTTCTTTAAGCAATTATTTTTATGTATTTAATTGGAAATTGACATTAAATGAATAAAATTTTCAGCGTATTTTATAATAATGGTGTTTGTACATTTTGTATGTATCTAACTGGATCAAGTAGAGCATGATTGTTTTATACTGACTATTAAAGCATATTCTCTAGGACATTAAAAATAAGATTTATGTTCTTAATCTTGATTTAATTAATATGATCAAATATACATTGCTTTGTGCTTTAATTCATTAAAAAGTGAGTTTCATTTATCGGGATAATAATTCTCAGTGAATTGGGCAAAGGAATTTATATACTCAGGATAATAATTCTCGGTATTGACTACACTCCAATTGTGTGTAGACTCAAAAGCCACAAATCATGTCTGCAATTCTTTGCAGGGGTTTCAGGTAACACGCCAACTAAGTAAAGGAGAAGTCAGCATCTTTTTGGGAGATGGCACTAAAGTTGCAATTTTAGCTGTAGGGAATGTTACCCTTAGTTTTAAGAATAATAGAACATTAATTTTAAGGGATGTTTTGTGTGTTCCTTCAATTAGAAGGAATTTAATTTTTTAATTTCTATTTTCTAAGTTTGGAGTAAGAATCGGTTATTCCAGGTTTGGTTTTAAATGATTTTATGATGATTCCTGTCTTATTAAATT